TTTTTTGCGATAGCTTGCTGCGTTCACAAAATAGTCACAACGGTGCCCAATCATTCATTGGCCGTGTTCAGCAGAATGTTTATCTTGCAACTGTTGGAAGTTTTCTCTGGTTTTCTCTACTGAGATAGGACTATTCCTCTAGATCTAAAAATGTAATCCAATCAGCGTGAAGAAAACTTCCAACGCGGCCATTATGCTTCATAAATCCATTTCCCAAAAGACGATCGTTGTGTTTTCTGAACACCTGTAATTTTGTGAGGTTATGAGAGAGCATGGTGTTTGTTGATGGTTATTTCAAGAAGTAAACCGGCGTATAAAAGTTTGTATAATTATATAAATCGCATTATTATATATATTGTACATTAATATTATTGTATAATTAATTATTAATTTTACTGTATAATTATATAAATCGCGTTATTATGTAGATTATATGTTAAGTACGTTGAATGCTATGACAAATATTGTTTATATCGTATTTTTTTACGCATTGTTTAACATACTTTCTGTAGAAATTTGAATGAAGAAGGAATAAATATTTATTGCTTAATAGAATTTTATGCCGTAATTGACGTAATAGAAATAATACCACATTTTATAAAAAGGAAGTTATTTCTGTTACTATTTCTTCATTCAATATTATTTATTATATTTTAATTGGTATTTTTTATATTTGCCTATATTTATCTGTATTATTAGAAAAATGGCTCAACAAATTGCACATGATGTAAGCAAGAAGCAGAGGACGAATGATATAAAAATAGAAGGAGATGTTACCTTCTTTCAAATGAGACTTCCACAAGATATTCTGGATGGGTTAATGTCTGCTGGATTTCAAAAACCATCTCCTATTCAGTTGAAAGCCATTCCGTTAGGCCGTTGTGGATTTGGTATTATAGCTATATTATTATATATTTATAATACTAACAACAATAATGATTTTTTTTATATCAAAAGTGTTGATGGTTTACAGATTTGATAGTACGTGCAAAATCAGGGACTGGAAAAACTTTAGTATTTGGTATAATAGCTCTTGAAACTTTAGATCTTTCAATACAATCACCACAAGTTTTAATAATAGCACCTACGAGGGAAATTGCGATTCAAATAACTCATGTTATTCAAGCAGTAGGTGCAAAAATAGAAGGTATAGTCTGAAATATTATTGCTATATTTATTTTCTAAAAAATTTATCTTTATGTTTTTGTCAATTACTTTTGCTATTTTAGAATTAAGAGTTGAGTACTTTGTGGGAGGAATGCCATTAGAAGAAGATAAGAAAAAACTGAGCAAATGTCATGTAGCTGTTGGTGCACCTGGTAGAATTAAACATCTAATCGAAAAGGGATTTCTTCATGTTTCAAAAGTCAGATTATTTGTTCTTGATGAGGCAGACAAATTAATGGAAATTAGTTTTCAAAAGGATATCAAGTTAGTATTGAGTTTAAGGATTTAGTATTCAATAAATTCATATGTACATGCTTGTACAAATGAATCTAGATAGATTAGTATATAATAGACTTTAATAGGCTGTGCTAATGCACATTATTGTATCTAGTTAAATTTCTTATCAACAATTTCAACATGTTCTGCAATTTACTAAAATTAATACGCTTTTTTATAGCTATATATTTTCTAAGCTACCATCCAGCAAACAAATTATAGCTTCAAGTGCTACTTATCCTGGAGATTTAGAAACATTTCTACAAACTTACATGTCCTCTCCAGTGTTAACATCACCAAATATTGATGGACCAATTTTGATTGGAATCCGACAATTTGTGGCTGTGGTTCCAGCATATCCCAATGCGATGAAACAGGTTTTTTTCCTTTATATACAAGAATGATCAGATTTTATTTTATTAACAAACAAATTCTACATAATCTATTTCTTTATATTTTTAGGTACAAACAAAAGTTGATGAGCTGGTAAAAATTTTTACCAAGATTTCATTTAAGCAAAGCCTGGTCTTTTCAAATTATCAATCACGGTATGTTATTTTTTAATTGTTTCATTTTTAATATTTAATTGATTTAATAAATATTTGATTAATATTTATTGTTCTATTTTTGTTATAGAGCTCAATCAGTAAGCAATAAGATTAATTCATTGGGTTTTTCATCTTCATATATTGCTGGAAATCAAGATATGACTAAAAGATTGGAAGCGATTGAAAACTTAAGAAATCTCGAATGTAGAATTATGTTGACCACGGATCTAACTGCAAGGGGTATAGATATAGAAAATGTTAATATGGTCGTAAACTTAGACATACCCAACGACCCGGCGACGTATTTACATAGAATTGGCAGGGCTGGTCGCTATGGATCTTATGGAATTTCCATCACAATTATTTCCGAAAATGAGCTTTCGTCGTTCAAAAAATTACTAGCTTCGATTGGTGGACTAAATTTTGGTTTGTTTAAACTCAATTCTGATTACACGGAAGATGTTTGGGTTGATGATACGTCAGCGTTTGAAAAAATTGATTTGGGATCTGAGAAAAGTCTCATAAAGTTGCCAGTCATTGATAAAATGGTCCTTGAATCTAAAAATGGTGCACCTATAAAAATACCTATATCAGAACATATATTACCTTCAGTGGCCAGTGACACATTATCAGAAAATGATGTTGCAAATGCTT